CGCCGCGGGGAGGGGCGTGGCTGCCCCTGCGGAGTCTGCGCACTGGGGCTCTTTTTCAGCCTCGTGTTTCCTAAGCGGCGAAGGCTGTATGCCGTGGGGTTGCGGCTATCGCGTGTGGAATCCTTAATGTTTTTCTTTTTAAAAATTAGCTCCAAATGATGAACTTTCAAACGTGGGTACAGGTGTTCTCCCACTTGTGACTTTGTGGAAGATCTATGGAAAGTCGATGGTATTGCAGCTAATGCCCCCCCCCCCCCGCCCAGTTTATTATAAAAATCTTCACATAAACAGGAACATGGGAGAATTCTGCAGAGAATTCCCGTATGCGCTCAGATTCTGCAATTAGCGTTTTGCCCCGTTTTCGGGGTTCTTCCGATGGCTGCTCTAAGACAGGCTGAGGCCGAGGACCCAAGGGAAGTTTCATAGCCGAGCTCGGAAGGACTGAGCCTCCGCTGCTAAAGAAGCGCGTTTCTGTGAAAATGAGATTTCCTGCCATTCCTTTGGTCAAAGAAAAGGTCCCGATCCCGAAGAAACACCAGCAACCCTACAACGAGAACAGGGAAGGCTTCGTTTCCAGGGACAGTTGTCCTCCAAGTTTAAAATAGAGTCGGTTTATTGTTTTATACTAGAGGCCGGTGCACGAATTGTGCACGGGTGGGGTCCCTCAGGGCGGCCTGCGGGGTTTGGGCTGAAACCCGCAGTCCAAAGCCACCTGCCGCCCCTGCCTGCTGCTCCCGCTCCTCCGGCCCCGCTGCGCTTGCCACGGTGTCGGGCCCAGTCAGTCCTGATCGGGAGAGGCTCCCGCTGCCCACAGCAGCACTTGCCAGCTGTGAGCCCTGCGTCTGGCGCCCATCCCAAAAGGGCGTGGGGGCGCCAGGACACAATGGGCCCTCCGGGCGGGCGGTGGGACGCCCTTGCCAGTCTGGGATCCGGATCCCTCCGGCCAATGTTCCTGCCCGTTGTCCGAAGCCATCTGGTGGCCGCTTTTATATCGGTTCTTCCTTGCGGAGCGTCTAGGGAGGGGAAGCGGCCACAGTGCCTGAGGCTGACTTCCAGGAGGCGGGCTGCGCTGTCAGGGTTGTGCCGGCAGCGCTGGTCCCTCGGTGCCTGACCGGTTCTCCGGAGATTGGACCTGCAGGACTGCTGAGGGAGTGGCTGCTGCTGGGTCACCCGGACAGGTCAGTCAGCTGAGCGGAGCTCCCACTGTGGGAGCGCACTGCCCACCAGGGGGCAGCTCCTGCGTTGAACGTCTGCCCCCCTGGTGGTCAGTGTGTGTCATAGCTACCGGTCGACCAGTCATCCGGTGGTTCCGTCAGTCAGTCTCTTAGGCTTTTAGATGTTTCACATGTACATACATGTATATATGCATACATGTGTATATGCACGCACACCTACACACCTGTGTCTATACATGCATGGGCCTGTGTGTATCCACACAGAGTTTTTTCCTCCTTCTGTGTTTCTTTTAAATGAAGAAACCCAGTGTGTGTGAGAAGGACGCTTTTCCTGACAGACGGCCCTGTTTGTGACCTGGAATCGACAACAGGACCTGCTTCCCAGGGTGGCCGGGAGCCCTCCGTGGGAGGCCTGGGGCGGGGCTGGGAAGCAGAGACCTGGCTCTGTGGCGTTTGACTCCCAAAGCCCCACTGGAGGTAACAGACAGGTATTTTAAAAAATATATTATTGATTTCAGAGAGGAAAGCAAAGGGAGAGAGAGAATCATGGATCGGCTGCCTCTTGCACGCCCCCTACTGGGGATGGAGACTGCAACCGGGGCCTGTGCCCTGACCAGGAATCAACCGTGATCTCCTGGTTCATAGGACGACGCCCAACCACTGAGCCACGCCAGCCGGGCCACATTTCAGATTTTTGATGAAGGTCAAGTCTGCAGCGAGACCTATTTCCGTGTAATGAGCTTCCTTAACGCCCAGAGAACTGGCTCTCATTAACTCGGGCATTTGGACTCTGCCTGGTTGCATTGGCATTTGTTATTTATTGGTTCGCTTTTACCCCGGGGTGGGGGTGGGAGGGGGGGTCTTGGAGCGTGGAACCTTGAAGCTGCCCGCAGTGCAGCAGGAAATCGGGTCTGTCACCAGATGGCACCCTCACACAGGGCTGAGGCTTCCCCCCGCATCTGGGAGCAGTTCCCTGTGGAAACTCCGCTTCAAAGGGTTGCAGCCTCGGCACGGAAACCCACAGCCGCCCGGGAGCCGGCTTGTTTCTCTATAAACATGGGGCTGGGTTTGATCAATGCCTTTCCTGACAGAGGAACGGTTACCGAGTCCAATGGTTTAAGATCGAGGTTAAAAGGGCAGAGAGAGGCCCAGCCGGCGTGGCTCAGTGGTTGAGCGTCGACCTATGAACCATGGAGGTCACGGTTCGATTCCCTGTCAGGGCACATGCCTGGGTTGCGGGCTCCATCCCCAGTGGGGGGCGTGCAGGAGGCAGCTGATCCATGATTCTTATCATTGATGTTTCTACCTCTCTCTCCCTCTCCCTTTCTCTCTGAAATCAATAAAAAAAAATACACATGTTTGTTTGTTTGTTACAGGAGAGAGGGGTGATGAGAGCCGGGGAGGAGGCGGGGTGTGATGACATTCAGAAGGTGATGGCGGTCACCGAGGTGGCGAGGTGGCGGAGGGGACCTGTCGGGGTGTCAGGTGGGGCTGCTGCAGGAGGCGGCGTGTTTGCTTTGGGACGTGCCCTTTCCCCTTCCCCTGTGAAATGACTTTTCTGCCCGGCGACCTCGTTATTACAGGGAAAGAGACCGTCACGCCCGCCGAGTAAGTGATTCCACATTGACAGGCGCTCGAGAACTCCCCATGACAAGCGTCCTTTGCTGTGTTTTCGGGGGTGGGAACGGGAACCGCGGGCCGAAGTTCCTTAGCGGAATCGCTGCCAATTAAGCTGTATTTATTTCCTCGGCGTCGGAGTGCCTGTGACATTTACCCGTGACATCTGGGTCAGGAACCGCATGGTGGCAATTTCCCCTCCTCCTCGTCGAGGGACAGCGAGTGCCTGTGGCGGAGAGGACGAGGGGATGAGGGGACGGGAGCTGCCACTGTGGTCACAGCGCTGCCTGTCACCATCCCGCATCCTCAGGACGCCCCGACTCGCAGAGACAAATGCCTGAGACCCCCTGGAGGCGAAGGGCTGCCTGGTGGGGAGGCGGAGGTTTCTCTCCCTCTTCCTTCCTCTCGCTCTAAAAATCAATTTTAAAAATCTTAGAAAAAAAAAAGATGACAGTGGACTCCATCCAGCACAGAGAACGCCTGAGAGGGTCCTAAGTGGAGCCTGCAGGCGCTGGGGTGAGCGCTCCCCCGGCAGCAGCCCTGACCGAG